CATGGTGACTGAGAGGAACCTCCCCATTCAGAGGCATTAATCCCAGAGCCAGGCACCAATATCAATGAAAAGCCTCAGCTTCTATGCCCTGTTGTTGGCCATCCAGAGGTACTGGTTGGCCACTGTGTGAGACAGGATGCTGGGCTAGATGGACTGTTGGTCTGATCCAGCAGGGCTCTTCATATGTCTATTTCTTTCCAATTAATTGGGGATCTAAATTAATGGATTGAATTGCTTGTATTAACTGCCCAGTATATAGTAAATTGATTATTTAATTGATTTGGTATATAACTAACAAATTAATTAAGAGGCGGTTATACTGGATAGCTTGAAGTAAATTTGCCACTGAAATCTATTAGCCTTTATTTAAATTACTGACTAAACTGAATGGAAAATTTGAAAAGAAAAAAAAGGCAATCATAGGCTATTAGTTCAATTGTATGGGCTTGTAAGGGAATTGATATACAGTGCAAATCTAATGAGGAAAGGGTAATCTGAAATTAGGAATGTATTGGTAGCTAATAGTTGCTGTTATATAGGGTACTATCAATACTAGTCAGTACAGTTGATTGGTCTGAGGCTCTAGTTGGTCTGAGGTTGGGAAGACCACTAGGTGCAGTGATGACCGGGCAGGGGATTCCAGTGCTCCTGGGGAGGGGGAAGTATAGCAGTGGGACCAGGCATGGTGCTAAGGGAGGGGGTCGGAGAAGTAGAGTAGCTTGGCCCCCTTCCAGCCTGCGTCCCACCCCAAAGGTTGTAGGCAGTGGGGCTAGGATAAACAACCCCCCTCAAACATTGGCATTGTGTAACGCCAGGTCTATAAATAAAAAGTCCATGGTCCTTAGGGACTTTTTCTGCTTGAGCAGAATGTAGACCTGGTGTGCATGACCGAGACCTGGGTGCAAGAAGGGGAGACAGTAGCTTTCTCCCAGTTGGCTCCTTCTGGGGTCTCGGTCCTTTATCAATCACAGACTAGGGGGCGGGGGGGGCTTTATTCATTTGGGAGGCTTACTCCTTCAGGGTGCTCCCACTGCCAAAGATCACAGGCATTGAATGTGCTGGCCTAGTGTAGGAGGCTGGGGAGAGTTTGGCGATTTGGCTTGTGTACCGACTGCCCAATGCACCAGCCAATAGCCTGCCATCCCTGATGGAGGCTGTATCGGGCTGGGCATTGGAACATCCTAGACTGATAGTCCTGGGTGACTTCAGTGACCCTGCCAACAATGCGGCCTCTACTTGGGCAACAGATCTGGTGTTGTCTATGGCGGTGCTAGGACTCTCCCAATATGTAACAACCCCCCACTCACCGGACTGGGCACATGCTTGACCAGATCTTCGTGACGGGGGTTACAGTGGACCAGATCACTGCGCTGGCAGTGCCATGGTCAAGCCACCTTCTGTTGTTGGGCGGCCAGTCTGACTCTAAACCGGAAAATCTGGACTGGGTGTTACAAGTTGTGGCTGGATGGTTTAGAGTGAGCCGACTGAAATTGAATCCAATGAAGACAGAGGTCCTGTGCCTAAGCCAGGGTGGACTGAGGGTAGGGAATCTCACTCCCGACCTTCAATGGGGCTCCATTGGTGCCAGCTTTGGAGGTTAGGAGCTTGGGAGGAGGCCCAGTACCCCTTTACAATGGAGTAAAGCAGCCACTGCCAAGTTGGCCTTTTATCATCTTCAGCTGATCAGGCAGCTGGTTCCCTTCCTTGAATGTAACAACTTGGCAACAGTGATCCACGCAATGGTCACATTGAGATTGGACTACTGTAATGCTCTCTACATGGGGCTGCCCTTGTCGCAAATCCAGAAGCTACAGCTGGTACAAAACCCTGTGGCCAATCTTTTAATGGGTCCCCCAACACGGGAGCACATTCAGCCTGTGCTCAAAGCATTGCACTGGCTCCCCATAGCCTACCAAATTCGCTTCAACACTGCAATCAGGGTCACAAAATCGACTGGCCCTCCCTGGCCTTAAGGACACCAGGCTGGCTGTAACCAGGGCCAGGGCTTTCACAGTGGTGGCTCCGCTCTGGTGGAATGAGCTCCCAGAAGAGATCAGGGCCTTATGCAGTTCTGCAGGCCCTGCAAGACAGAGCTCTTCCACCAGGCTTTTTGTTAAGGAGCTGCCACTGATAGCTGAAAGGTAGAGAACCCTGTCCCCCTGGAGCCATTAACAACGGCCTGTGCCAGCCGCATAAGGGTTTAGATCTACAGGCCAATCACCAGAATACATTATTGACTGATGACTGCCATTGTTTAATAACATGATTATTATCAGTATTATCTAACGTCTGTAGCACCTTTATAATTTGGAATGTTTTTAGATGATTTTAGGATTGTTTAAATTGGTATTGATGTGTTTTAGTCTTTTTATGTAAGCCACCCTGAGCCATACTTGGCTGGGAGGGCGGGATATAAATCCGATAAATAAATAAATAAATGTTCTTATATAACTCCATGTGAAACAAATATGACGGGTGGGAATAAATTCCTAGGAGAACACATTTCAGATAAGTTATTTCTTGCAGAGTGCAACTCCACATTCTTTGGAATATTCATGATAATATTAGCCTATTCTATTATTACTCATCATAGACAGGTAGAATTTTTGCGGTAAATTATATAGTTGTTGAGTAAGGCAAAAATCTGGCTGTAGTCTAAGGCTTTGGCAGCTGGGCCAGCTCACTTAGCCAAGGAATTCTCCTTAAATAAGCAGCTCCTCCATTTAACAAACAGTGAGTGCAGTTCAGTAATGAGGGGAAAGCAGCCGTCTGTCTGGGAATAAGGTGGTTTCTAGCACCCAGGATAAAAGAACTTGCTTATGTTTGTCCAGAGAATGGCTTTCGTAACTACTTAAGCTAGAGCTCTGCTCCTGCCTTGTATAGTTGAAAATTCTATTGCTGCTGAGGAACACAGCATGGTGTTAGGGAAGAGAGGATTGTTCCCATTGCTAGTCTAGCAAAAGGATACTCCTGTCTTCTTTCTTTTTCTTTTGCATGTTGTCTTTTTGAGCCCTTTCGATATGGACATTTTTATTACGGAGTTGTGGTAGAAAGTGCAGTGAAGTCACGGCTGACTTACGGCAACGCCGTAGGGTTTTTCCAAGGCAAGAGACATTCAGAGGTGGTTTGCCGTTGCCTGCCTCCATGTCACGACTCTGGTATTCTTTGGAGGTCTCCCATCCAAATTCTTGCCAGGGCTGACCCTGCGTAGCTTCCGAGATCTGACAAGATCAGGCTAGGCTGGGCTGTCCAGGTCAGGGCACTGTGGCACTACCCATTCATTTGTTTTTCTTTCACTGCCTACATGCTGTATTTACCTCCTTTATGTGCACGTGATAGAAAAATAACAAGGTGCAAGAAATGAAAATGACAGAAAGGAAAGGCTCTTGGGTTCAGTTTGTGCAAGAGAAAAACAGTGGGGCTCCAAAATCTGGTAGGATTTCTAGTCTATACTTATGGAAGTTCAGATAGGTCTGGGTATGATCTACGTGCAATTCTGATCCATATGGAGGCTTTCCTGCTTTTTTCTTATGTAGCCATGGGCTGGATGGATTCAGCAGTGGTCTTAAAGGAATCTCTCTCCTTGACCAGTATGGGCTCAGGCCAGGGATGATGGCCAATACAGGGCTCCAGACCTGAGCAGCAAGGCTGTTTCAGTCAGAGTTCCAGCAATAATAAAATATTTCACGTACATGGCTTGTTTAGTCCCTACAGAATTAAGACTATAAATCAGGCAACCTTTCTTGAGACAGTGCCTGGATGACAGAATATCCTCCTCACAGATATTCAGCTGCACCAAGTGTGCCATGTTTTCAGTGCCAGCTAAATATGTACTTGCTTATTCAGGTCTTCTGTTGATTACGTTTGTCTTTTTAAAAACAGCACTGTGCTTTTATTATCTGGTTATTGCTTATATATATTTTTAATTGTAAGCTTCCTCAAGTGCCTTTGGTGGAAATAAATTAATTAATAAATATTAGCCACATATTTCTGATTCGGCAGAGTCAGCAGTTTTTCTGATATTGCCTAGTATGCCCCTGCCTAAGCAAAGATTTGAAGTGGAGATTTCATACTTCACGGCTTTAGCTTCTATGCATACCCACCGCCTTGATAGGCCATCTTTAGCTGGCTCTGGCAGTTACACAGGGAGGTCTATTCAACATTCAAATGCTTCACTTTCATTATTAAATATCCCTCCAACCTTTAAATATTAAAATTCTCTTTACGAATGCAGATCAATGTGACCTGGGAACTAGTGAAGCTATGCATGTTAAAGTTTCTGTATCAATCTTTGGCATCTCCAAGATATTTCCATGAACACGTCAATAACCGGGAAAATCTTCTGTGTGCAGTGTTTATTTATTTATTAGATTTATACCCTGCCCTCCCCACCAAAGCAGGTGTTCCCTATAAGATGTGCGCGTGAGCGGCTGCTCATTAACATGGGAAGCCCCACTCAGCAGCAATCTGGATCCACACAGGGCCTTGCACTGCCCACTGCCCATTTTAAGATTGCAGCGGTTATATTCTGCTCCACTCAGTTTGTGTGGACTCTAATCTGGGAGAACTGGGTTTGATTCCCCACTCCTCCACTTGTACCTGACTGGATGATCTTGGGCAAGCCGTAGTTCTGATAAGAGCTGTTCTTGAAAAAGAGCAGTTTCTGTCAGAGTTCTCTCAGCCCCACCTACCTCACAGGGTGTCTGTTGTGGGGAGGAGAAGGGGAAGGAGTTTGTAAGCCGCTCTGAGACACCTTTGGGTAGTGAAGGGCAGAGTGTAAATCCAATCTCTTCTTCTTCTTCTTCTTCAGTGGGGGAGGGGAATTAGAGGGAACATTGTCTGTGGACCTTTAAAACATTTCCTGTCTTGTTTCCCTCCGCCTTGAACATATAGTAAATCCAATCTCTTCTTCTTCAGTGGGGGAGGAGAATTAGAGGGAACATTGTCTGTGGACCTTTAAAACATTGCCTGTCTTGTTTCCCTCCGCCTTGAACATATAGCCAATGCAGCACATGTGCATGAGGAAGCAGAGAAAGAGAAGGCAGAGCTGCTGGAGAAGCAGAGGAACAAGATCACAAGTCTCCAGCAACAACACCAGGAGGAGAAAGAATCTCTGAAGAACGCTCATCGAGCTGAGACTGAGAGACTTAGCCTAGAAGTTAAAACCCAGGTTGGGGTTTTCTGAGTTCCCTTTTGTCATTATTTTGTTCCACCATGTCTGACTGAATGGCAGCAACACTCCTATAGTGGTTTGTATTTCTTCCCTAGTACTCATATTCATCAGCACTGTGTCGGAGTGATAGTAACATCTTCTGAGAGCAGTGCAGTGCACATCATGTCAAGTTATTTACATCAGTGGTCTGATGGAAAGCAATAGCACGATAGAAGAGTGTTTTCTGTTAACATTATGAAACCCCACACTACTTATATTTTTGCCCATTTTGGAGCCAGTTTGGTGTAGTGGTTAAGAGCACGGACTCTACACTGGGAGAACTGGGTTTGATTCCCCACTCCTCCACTTGTACCTGACTGGATGATCTTGGGCAAGCCGTAGTTCTGATAAGAGCTGTTCTTGAAAAAGAGCAGTTTCTGTCAGAGTTCTCTCAGCCCCACCTACCTCACAGGGTGTCTGTTGTGGGGAGGAGAAGGGGAAGGAGTTTGTAAGCCGCTCTGAGACACCTTTGGGTAGTGAAGGGCAGAGTGTAAATCCAATCTCTTCTTCTTCTTCTTCTTCAGTGGGGGAGGGGAATTAGAGGGAACATTGTCTGTGGACCTTTAAAACATTTCCTGTCTTGTTTCCCTCCGCCTTGAACATATAGCCAATGCAGCACATGTGCATGAGGAAGCAGAGAAAGAGAAGGCAGAGCTGCTGGAGAAGCAGAGGAACAAGATCACAAGTCTCCAGCAACAACACCAGGAGGAGAAAGAATCTCTGAAGAACGCTCATCGAGCTGAGACTGAGAGACTTAGCCTAGAAGTTAAAACCCAGGTTGGGGTTTTCTGAGTTCCCTTTTGTCATTATTTTGTTCCACCATGTCTGACTGAATGGCAGCAACACTCCTATAGTGGTTTGTATTTCTTCCCTAGTACTCATATTCATCAGCACTGTGTCGGAGTGATAGTAACATCTTCTGAGAGCAGTGCAGTGCACATCATGTCAAGTTATTTACATCAGTGGTCTGATGGAAAGCAATAGCACGATAGAAGAGTGTTTTCTGTTAACATTATGAAACCCTACACTACTTATATTTTTGCCCATTTTGGAGCCAGTTTGGTGTAGTGGTTAAGAGCACGGACTCTAAACTGGGAGAACTGGGTTTGATTCCCCACTCCTCCACATGCAGCTGCTGGTATGACCTTTAGTCAGTCATAAGTTCTTTCAGAGCTGTTCTCTCAAGGGCAGTTCTCAAGAGAGAGCTCTCAGCCCCACCTAATTCACAGGGTGTCTGTTGTGGGGAGAGGAAGGGAAAGGAGTTTGTAAGCCGCTCTGAGACTCCTTCGGATAGTGAAGGGCAGGGGATAAATCCAATCTCTTCTTCTTCTTCTTAGGTGGAAAAGGAGAAGGATTTAGAATGTAGACAGCAAATCTCTGAGCAGCGTGAATTACTGAAGAGAGAGCAGGAAGAGAGGCTGCAAGGTAAGAGTCCAAAATTTGTCTACATGTTAACTTACATCTGCTGCTAAACTCCACGTAGTACCAGTGTTTCATCTCTTTCCCTCTTCCAAATCCCATATAACTGGTAGTGATTAAAGAGCACTGGGATAAGGGCATCCCATGATGTCATAAATGTTTCCTTTATACTTAACAGAGACTCTGTGATGTGAACAACTGGATGGCAGGCAGATATTCAAGGACACAAAGCCTTTGTCAGGGGAAAAAGAAGCACCCCTAGATGATGTTTACTAGTGTAGCATGGATGGGAATAAATATCATGATTTTTTTTAAATTCAGATTATTCATATACTTATATTTTTCTGGCTTTATGAATTTTTATAATAAGATTTTGTTAGGATTTAATAAGAGTGTACTAAGTGGTAAGGCCTCTCCTTTGTTAGGTTAGAGGGTCTTTTTAGCTGATGCTAGCAGACAAGGAACAACATTCTTTTTTCTTTTCGTTTGGATGAAATAGCTGTCTGGCAATTTTAACAGGCCTTCAGTGCGGCATTACTGGTAAAGTAGGGGATAGGTTTTTCAATAGATATATTTGCTTTGTTTTTTACTCATAGTATAGAGTTCATGGTTTTAGTTGTTTGGGGTAAAACTCTGCAGTGTCTGGGTCAGCATGGGCTTTAGGTTCATATCTGAAAACATCTTTTGTTTGGGTATGAAGAATCCTTGGGTATTATTAATAAGGTTAGGTTAAATAAACATTGAAGATATCAAATAGTCACACCTTTTGCTGTAACTGACCAATGAATGAATGACTTCTCAAATTGTGCTCTGTTATTCTGTGACCAATTATGATTTCTGGATGTTATCTTTTGACGATGTCATTTTGAGTATAAAACTTCATGTACTTCCTTATATTGCTCAGAAAGCAGTCAATTTTTGATAGGCTATTTTGGCCTAACTGTTTTCTGGTATTTCAATTGCAATTAAATATCTAAAGAACTTTTCCATCCTCACTGAGACTTCTCTTGCATGTTCTGTTATTGACCTGAGAACACACAAGCAGGGATTTGTAGAACACTAGAACATCTATTTTTTCCAGATAATATCAATGATGTTATTTACGTTTGCATTCAATTTGTCATCAATTATGGACCCCATGGCAGTGTTCGTAACGTTCCCTGGAGGTCTCCCATCAAAACATTGACCATACCATATTTGCTGAGTTTATTAAGGTTGCTGTATCAGATTGGTGTCCTGGCCTGAATAGCCCAGGCTAGGCAGATCTCAGAAACTAAGCAGGATCCGCCATGGCTAGTATTTGGATGAGAGACTTCCAAGAAACACCAGGGTTGTGATGTGTTGGCAGGCAATATTAAACCATTGCTAAATGCCTCTTGCCTTGAAAACCCTGTGGGGGTCGCCATAAGTTAGCTGTGACTTGATGGCCAAAAATAAAAATAAAACATCAGATTGGTGCCACTGCTTACTATGTTGGCCTTCAGGCTGTCATTTTAGTTCTGATGTCACAGGCATTCCATGGTTCCCTTTTGTATACCCCAACCAGAACCAACTTCTTCTCCTTCTAACACAGCAGCAGCATATTTGTGGCTCTAGATTTTCATGTAGCATAGGAAGCATCCTGAAAAGATCTTGAAGCAGTTGTGGGTAGAAGGCTAGCAAGTAAGGGTTACTGTGCAAATGGAGGTATAGGAAGTAAGATTTATAGAGTAAAAATGTATTTAATGCCTCTGTACAAACTGCAAAGGGAGGTAATGCCAGTACTAAAATGCTGAGCAGGCAACACACAAATGCCTCCTTGTTCTAGTGGTTGGTAATGACTCTGGTGCTTGTGAATGTGCTCATTAATGAGCCATACTCCCAAGAAGACCTTGCACAGTGTCTCTGAGTGGGCTAGGTGCCACTCAGTTCTTGTTGCCTGGTGGCTGCTCCACATGACTTTTAGATTTTCCACAACTAAGAGAGAGAAGGGTGAAGGCTTACAAGCTCACTTCTCTGGGCTATTGCAATTATTTTCCTCTCAGATCTTCTGACCACTGATTTGGTGTTTTCCTTGCAGAGTTCCAGAAAGCACATGACCAAGAGAAGCTGCTCCTGAGAGAATCCTATGAAAGGTCCCAGTCATCTTTACAGGTGCTACTGTTGATGCCCCAGATCCAATGCTGCACATCAAATGCTCAGAGAGAAAATGACATAAATGGCTTCTGCAGCACTGACTTGCATTGCCCCCTTGATTTCTTGAGCTCCCAAATAAAATGAATAGTCTTTACAGAATTTCTTCCTCTGAGCTGCTTACTTTAGCATAGGAGATTCCAAATGATGGCCTTTCAAAACACAGTGACTGGCTGCCATATGATTTATCCTTTGATGTTTCTCCATTTTTTTTGTACAGTTTTGCCCTAATGGAAGCCAAGTGGATGGTTTCAAGGTAGCAAGCAGAGCTGGCCTTCATGAATTCAGAATGTTTTGGGGGCTATTTTCCAGCCTCCCCTCAGTTCCATATCATTCCTCACCTTCACAATGTCATGTGCCCCATAAGAATCTGGTTTTGATCTTTAAAGTCCTAAATAGCTGAGGCACAGACTACCTGAAGGATCACCTCAACCCATATCGACTAACCCAAGACTTGAAGTCAGCCCAAGAGGCCTTTCTCTGGGAACTAGCCCTAGTAGAGGTTGGGCTGATAGAAACCTGAGGAGGGAGTGCTTTCTCAGCTGTTGCTCCACAACCTTGGAACTCCCTCCAAGAGGAGCTGAGAATATATGCCTCCTGAAGACCTCCAAGCATCAAGGGCCCAATGTCCCCTGTTGTTACACCCCAAGAGATAATAATCTTTTTCTCCTTACATCTTGCTTCCTCGTTTCAAAGACCTAAAAAAATCACACTGATTTCCTTCATCAACAGAAGTTGCAAAAATAGCTAAATGCCCTGTATTACGTACTCATACCTTGCAACAATCCAAGTACCATTTCCCAGTCTATTGTAGAAAGTTTTTTTTAAACTTTTATTGAATTTGATTAAGATACAGTACATTTACAGGAACTGCAACCCTGAAGAATAACAGAGATATCAGTATAAAGTAGAACCAGCAATAATATGTAAGCTACTCCTATTACTATTTTTACTATGTGACTAATACACTACTACAGAGAGACTTTGTTTAAGAAAATAGATAGAGTAGGAGTACATTCCTAGGTATATTTTGGATTTTTCTGATCCCATTTGGGCTTTGAGAAAGGGGCCCCATTTTAGCATAGGATTGTTAGAGGGATCTGTCTTATTTGCCTGGAGAGCCTGTTCCATGAGTTTGTCAAAGATAAAATAATCCCAGACTTTGGCAAGCCATTGATTTAATGATGATATAGTATGGAGTTTCCACTGCATGGCCAAAGCTGTTTTAGCCGCTGTGAGTAAGATAGCAATAATGTCTCTGTCTCTCTTCAGGATGTCAGTCTTCGGCCATAGGTTCAACAAGAGAGAGAGAGCTTTAGGAATCTTGAGGCCAGTCCAGTGATGTATTTCAGAGAGGATTTTGCACTAGACCTCTTCTACTACTGGGCATGACCACCAGTTGTGGAAGTAGGTACCCTTACCCCCACACTGTTTCCAACAAAGGGGGGAGATTGCCTGGTTGACATGAGCTAGATTAAGTGGAATTAGGTACCATCGCATGACGAGTTTGACAAATTGAGTGCGGATAAGCATCGAACGTGAGGAGTAAATCGAGGAATTCCAGATTTTGTCCCATTGTTCAGGTGTCATTTGTTTATTTAGGTCTCTGTGCCAAGCTTGCTGATAAGGTGTAGTCGGTAGCTCAGAACTGGACAGGAGGAATTTATAAAGCTTTGAAATCATGCCTTGTTCTTGGAACATTTTGAAATTCAGTAATCTTTCATACATATTTAATGGCTCCAGGAAAGCTATTTCATCTTTCAGGGAATATAGCAGATGCCTCAGCTGGAGGTATTCAAACCAAGGGAGGGGTGTCGACCCCACCTCTTCAAGCATAGCCTTATCCATAATGCAGTCTTGCTTCACTACGTCTATGAACCTGATTAAACGCGCCCTTCTCCAGTTGCCAAATGCCCCAGGGTGGTTGCCTGGGGGGAACCATGTTTGATCTATAAAACTGCTTAAACTGGGGTACAAGATGCTTCTTATGTCTGTCCCAAGTATGAAAAGCCATTTTTTAAAAAAAATATGACTTTGGGACTTGTGCTGTCTTCTGGAGGGGGACTGCCACAATGCTTCACGGAACAAGTCAGATCTCAAGAAAGATTCCTCTATTAGTTTCCAATCAGCCTCATATGAGACATGGTATTGTTTAACCACATTTACTAACATTGTAGCTGAGTAGTACAGGTAGAGATCGGGAACAGATAGGCCTTCATTAGACATCAGTCTACGCATTGTTTTGTTTTGAATTCTGGGTGTCTTGGAGTTCCAAATAAAGTTGTTTAAGCTCCTTTGCCAGTGTTTTAAAAAGGCAGAGGGGATGAATATGGGCATCATCCGAAAAAGATATAAAAACCTGGGCAGGATCATTGATTTAATGGCATTGATACGGTCGTCCCACGATAGCAATTTGACATCCCATCTTTTCATCAATGAAATAATATTGTTGTTTGCTTCAGTATAATTGTGGTGCAAGATATCTTTAAGATCTAGAGGGATTTTAACTCCCAAATATTGCCAATACCGTGTTATCCAATTAAAAGAATAGTCCTGGCGTATTACTGCAGTGGTTCGCAAGTCTAGTATAATAGGGAATATCGTGGTCTTACACTGATTGACTTTAAGGCCAGAGACAGGGCCAAATTCAGAGAGTACAGAGAAGAGTACTGGGAGCGAGGTTATTGGTTTGGACAGATGTAGAACAATATTGTCTGCAAATAAACTAACTTTCAGGTGTTTGTGTTCCATCTGGATTCCAGTGATGAGTGAATTATTTCTTATTACCGATGCCAAGGGTTCTATGGCCATTGTAAACAGCAATGGTGATAGCGGACACCCTTGACGGGTGCCACGTTTTAGAGGGAATTTGTCCGAAAGAACTTCATTTATGTGAAGACTAGCCGTTGGGGAGGAGTAAATAGCCTGGATAACATTTACAAATCTAGTGCCGAAGTCCATCTTCTGCAACAACATTTTAAGGTAGATAAACTCAACGGTGTCAAAAGCTTTCTCGATATCGAGAGATATAACACAGGATGGCTGGATGTGGTGGTTTTTGCAGAACTGGATGATGTCAACTGTCTTCCTAACGTTGTCAGAAATGTCTCTCAAGGGAATAAAACCCGTCTGGTCTAGGTGTATATATCTAGCTATTATCTTCCTCAGGTGCAATGAAAGTAGCATTGTCAGAAGTTTGTAATCACAGTTAAAAAGCAAGATTGGACGATACGCTTTAGGGTCTGACTTGTCCTTTCCCAGTTTGGGTATCACAGCAATTCTCACTGAATTCTACGATGGAGGCATAGGGTTTGAGTCCATAAGTTGGTTAAAGACATCAGAGAGCAGTTGGGCTAAGAAGTCTTGAAAGCTGATATAGAATTCCATAGGGAAGCCATCCACCCCCGGGGTTTTATTGCATTTCATTGAACATATAGCTTGAATAACTTCCTGTGTCGTTATTGGTTCGTCGAGGTATTCTTGATGGGTCAGTGAGAGGTGTGGAATGTGCAGATTCGATTCCAAGTATGCTGAGGTTTTACCAGGAGTCGGGTTAATGGTGTCGTACAAAGTCTTATAGTATTGTTCAAATTCAGAGAGCATGTCTTTAGTAGATTGTTTTAAGACACCCGGTGTGTCTCTGATGCAAGAGATATTGCGTTCTGCCTCTCGTGACCTGAGCTTCCAAGACAGGTAACGTAAAGTTTGGGGACTCCTGAAGTTAATGTTCTTCTGGATTTGCATGACTTCCAATGCTTCCAACTTCTTTCAAAGTAGCAGGAGACGTTGGTACACTTTTTTATTGCAAGTACGTTTGTGAGGATTATTACCTCTAATAACCGCTTTGAGTGAATCCCAAACTATTTCCAGTGGGACACTACCATCCAAGTTGTGATGGAAAAATTCTTTGATGTCATCGTTTATGAATTTTGCAGCAACCGGATCTAACAATAAAGTGTTGTTTAGCGTCCAATTGAATCTGCCTTGTAGTTGTTCTTCGCTGTTTAGGACACAGTCCACAGGTGCAGGGTCAGACCATTGCCTTAATCCTATTGATGAGGAAAGTGCCATGTCTTGCAGAGAGGTTGAGATCAGTATAATATCTAGCCTACTAAAGGAATTGTATTTGGAAGAAAAGTAGGTGGAATCTTTCTCTAGATCATGTTGCGTTAAGGTCTGAATGTGAACATTCCCACCAATATCTGTTCTGAGTTTCATTTGTAACTGGATATATACCAGAATGCTCTCCAGCATGATAAGAATTATCTGTTATCTGTCTGTTATCTTGTTATCCCAGCCTCCTTGCAAGGAGCTCAGGGTATATAGTACTTACCTATTCTGTTTTATCCTTACGTAAGAACCCTATGAAGAAGGTTAGAATGAAACAATGATAGGGCCCAAGATTTACCCAGTGAGTTTTAGTGGGGATTTAAACCTGGATGTCTCTAGTCCTAGTGCGACTCTAATCATTATGCTACACTTAAAGCTTATTAGTAAAAACAGAGAGGCAAAATTTTGGAATTGTATCTGAATGGAAGCTCAACCAAGATTCATGTTCTTTGCAGAGAGCTAGTAAGGAGGACTGAGAATGATTTTAAATCATGTCTATAGGAAGGGCACCCAACAAGTGATTTAGTATTAGCTATCTATCATTCCACCTTGGGAGCCAGCCATTCCTAAGGAATATTGAAAGCACCATCTGATGTGAGTTATGAACCAAGGAGCTGAATTCACAGTGAACCAGTGGATATTCATATTTTCTAACATTTTCAAGATTACTTCTTTCTCTTCCTTTCAAATTACAATGCTGCAGTGAATCAAAGTTTTAAAAAATATAATTGACCTAAACAGAAAGGCATTGTAATGTGACCTTCAAATTTCAGTTTAGAGTGGATCAGATAGACATGAGGAACTTGCACTTGCTTAAATAATCCTAGGAAATGCTGGTTTTATGGAAATTAGGCACTTGCCAGTTCCAAATACAGAAGCTACTATTTCACAAGACCAGTCTGCCACTGGTTGTTGTCACCGGTTTTGATTCTATGGTGTTTGCTGTTGGTTTTGTAGGTTTGTTGCAAGACTGGTTCACTACTGTTTACGAACTCAAACTGTCACACTGCTCTATATACCTTTGTTGTCACTGTGCCATCTGTTGGAACTTTGACTTTGGTCATGAGCTTACGTGGTATCGTACATGTTTGGGGACACATTTTCGTCTGAATTATTACTGCTTCCTACAGAGTCAGGGGCTTGTATTGATACTCTGCCTTCTCTCTGTACCACAGGAGATGATTGACAGATTGAGTTCCCAGCTGGCATCCTTCCAAGAGAAAATGAAACGGGTAGAGGAGTCAATCCTGAGCAGAGACTTTAAGAAGCACATCCAGGTGCTGTAAACTAAACTGGTCATAATCTGTTGTGATGAATTTCTAAAGGTGTGTATTGACAGAGACCCGGTGCCACTTCCTTCTCTTCCCATTGATCAGACAGACAGTGCATGGAGTCTGTTCAGAGAGAAGGAAACTGGATCCAAAGAACCGTGTTTGCTGAACATTAAAAGGGGGTGATGCTACTGTTTATATACTTCTCTTCCAAGTAGACATTTGGTACTGTCTAACCATGACAACAATGTTCCTATTCATTTAAATCTATTAATTTTAGGCCAAAGTATCTGTGTGATTCTTTTGAGTGTATCCCTCCTTGGACACATACTTTAATGTGGTGAGGGGATTTGTGTGTGTGTCAGTGACGCTGAGAGCAATACCATAAGGAGTTTACACCTAGCAGAGTCTCTCAGGGTAGAATGGTCACAGCTGAGACACCAGATTAAGATGCATACACCCCCCCTTTCAGCAATCAGCGACCACATCAGCAGAAGAGAACAGGCAGTTCCAATGTTGATGGGGGCAGAGGAATCCTTGAAGGGTAGCTACCTATTGTTCCCTCTAAGCTGTGGAGTTTTGTGAGCAAAAATTCTACTTTGTGAGCTACTGGCATTAACGTTGTGAGTGAGCAATTTGGCTCCTGCATAAACTAGTTTGTTCTGGAGCCCTCCTTCCTGAGCTGAGACAAAAATGTGTGAGCCAGAGACTAAAAAACAGTGAGCTAGCTCACACTAACTCAGAGGGAACACTGGTAGCTACTGGGCAGCAGTGGAAGTGGAAGGTGACACTGGCGGAGGATCTACCACAGAAAATGGCAGCCTGGCTAGTACTGCACAGAAGGCGGCAATAGTGAACAACTTCTGGTTATCTCATACCTTGAAAATCCTATGATGAGACAATCCAAAATGGAAAAATAAAAAGATATAGTGCTAGAAGACAGGCCCTCCAGGTCAGATTGCACTCAATCAGCTACTTGGGAAGAGCTGAGGACAAGTATGAGTAGCGCTATTCTTAATGAAGCAATTGGATGAAAGCTGAAAGAATGACGTTCGGTTGTTGATGTGAATGGATGGAAGGTCTGAAGTTGTTCTGCCTCCTCCTCCATTCCTCCCCGCATCCTGCTTTTCTTGGTGATACAATGCTGCCCCGCCCACTGCTGTCTCCTCTGCTGCAGATCTGGAATTCTGAGTCCCCTCCTGAGCCCCTGCCAGCTGCGGTGAGTCGGGGGGGGGGCTGCCACTTACAGCCCCTGTTGGTAGTTTCCCCATTGGATTTGGTCCTGAAGCTCAGGGAGGGCCGGCAATGAGTCTGGGTACAGGCCCATCCCTGGACAGTATCATTTATAATGCTGATTTATTTAGATTATACAGAACAATGCTTATGCTTGATGGGCAAACAAGAAGTGGCACAAGAATAATGAACTGTGGTTTCATTCATAGATGGGGAGGGAAACTAAGAGAAGGATTTGGGGGGAGTTAAAATTGTAGGAATTAGAAATACAAAACCATTTCTGAAATGTGGGGATTTTTTGATAAAGAACAGAGAAATGATTCCCCTGCTAGCATATCTGAGGTCATACAGATTGTTTCAGTCAGCAGAACAGTCTCTAAAGGTGATCCCATTAGAACTATTAAGATGAGTTTTAAAAAAACTAGTTATTGCTTGGTGTATGCATTGTTAAATGATGATTTGTATATGTGAAAACGGTCCTGACAGATTGAACACCACAATGAGAGTCGTTCTGTATTGTCACATTCCCTCAGATGCAGTACTTTTTAATGGTGGCAATGCATTCATTCATGTGCAAGTGATCTGCTTAATTGCTTTCCTGCAAAAAGTTGTAGAGAGAACCTCTCAATGTGGTTGTGCTCCTATATGACATGCATATGTATCGCTGGATGTGCTGCACATTTGTGTGTATTCATGAAGGAATTTGCATGGCTATAGGGTATATATGGCACTATCTTTTGGTGAAAAATCCCCCCCCCTTTTTTTTTTTAAATCTAGGATTATGGGAGCCCTAGCCAGTTCTGGGAACAAGAACTTGAAAGTCTGCATTTTGTCATTGAGATGAAGAATGAACGCATCCATGACCTGGACAAAAAGCTCCTGAGCCTGGAGTCAGTGGTGAGTGTTCTGTATTAATTTCCAATAGCTGTTCCCAAGAATTAGTAGAGAATGGTAGGGGGGCTGGTCTGTTGTGTTCTATACCTGAGTGGCCTCCCTAACAGAAGTCCTACTGACTTCTGTCTAAATACCACAAAATTTGACAATCACCCTTCCTCATTTCCCTGAAGCATGTTCCAAGTTTTAGGTTTATCAGTACTGAGGTTATGTGAGACCTTCAAATAAGACCAGTCTCTTACAAGAGTACGAAGATGAAGGCTTTGGATACATATTTCCCACGATCCATGCCTACTACAACAGTGTCCTCTCCCATTGCAATTTAAGGTGTTGTGTGTATGATGCTTTGTCACACACACTTATGGAAAATTAGGCAGCTGTCCCATGGAGAGAGCACAGAGATAAAACTGCAGCTTTAGAGAGACAAATAAGTTCTCACTTCTTTTTTCCATTTTTTTATTGAAAGACTTGAACAAATACAAATAACAATGAAAACAGCCATTGAACCAGGCAGTAAATGAGATACACCCAAACTTCAGATAACACACAGATTTGCATTCATACATTCAACCTTTCAGCTCTCTAGTATATTTAGTAAACCCCACAAAACCTGCCATGAGCAAGGTAATTCAGATTATATTTAGCTCTGTTCATTCCAGGAGACCCAAGCAGCTCAATGATCCCATTTTATATCAGAATCCTAACCAAGAAAGATAAGAAGTGTTTGTTGGAAGTATGTTCTTGTTTGCCATATACTGAAGTAACCGAAACCAAATGGACTCGAAGCGAGAAGCCACGGAGGATGAACCTCCATTCGCTAATTGAATGACATTTGTGATTTTAGCTAGAATAAACGGGTCCCATATCTTATCATACCAGATCTGGATAGTCGGGGATGAGGAAGAATAAATGCTGGTTTTAAAAAAGAATTTTGATCAGAGTGTTCTATTTTATCAGATTTTTTAAAATTTTTGATTGCATAAAGATACACCCCAAGTGAATTGGGGTGGCAGGTTTTTGCATTGTATTAGCTTTAAGAACAGTGGGAACAGGTTCCATCTTAAACAGGCAGTCTCCCTTTTCACATAGGAGGGAATACCGCTTCTAAAACAGCAAATGCCATCTGCTGGTGCTATGTGAGTATGCAGTCAGGGACTAGTATTCTCCTCACTTCACTGGTATTGTGATGAGGGCTCGCTCCAAAGTATGTAATGCCCCCTAGCAAATAAACCTGAGGCGCCTCCCCTCCCTGGCTTGGTGTTTTTATTAGCTTTAAGCTAATAATACTTGTAAATGTTCTTTTCCTCAACACAGTTGCCTTGATTAAAATTAGATGATTGATTGATGAATGTGCCTTAAAGCATAATAAATTCACCCTATATTAAATCAGTTAAATGGAGAAAGATGCTGAATTAATATTGCTGTAGATTACATTGTTTGCATCAGAAGGCAGCATGATGAACTCAGCCGTAGATAGAGTAAGGTGAATCTGTCCCTGCATTGTATCAGGGCTGCTAGTCAACTAGAAGGTATAGGGAGGTAATTAATCCATATAACTTGAGACAGGGTTCCTAAGATAAGAGAATGATATAGACAACTTTGAGTGTGGGAGTGTTAATTTTGTGGAGAGATGAGTGGCAGCAACCAACGCAAAGGGCAGGTAGCACAAGTGTCTAGTGCAAGTAAAGTCACGTTGGCACATGCCCACTGGACCAAACTGGTGACCTTTGCTGCTCAGGAGCGTGTCGAGTGGACAAGGATCTTCTTGATCTTCCTGTTCCTTGATCTTCAGAAACCTATTTCAGTACTCTTCTAGGCATATCTTTGATATAAATTAGTACTTCTACATTTCATGCATGTGTGCATCCATGCAAACACACATTGCCTGAACCTGCATTGGCTTCTTGTAGAAGGGGACATGTTCTTATAGATGCCTACACTGCCACAGAAAGGTGCTAAAATCCATGGTGGCCTGCCCCTGAAATCTCTCCCCAGTCAACCAGCCTCTAAGGCTGTGATAGACGACTGTCTTAGTCACAAAATTGGGACTGGGTGGGTAAAGTCATTCACTGTTTTCGGAGCAGGTCTACAGTGCTGAGGTGGGAAAACCTTTCCTCTGTTGTTTCCCCAAAGCAACCCCCCCCCAAATTGTAACTTACTTCTATGTTTTCACTCAAAAAAAATTGTAACTTACTTCTATGTTTTCACTGGAAGAGACAAACAGCAGCTTTGAGGCAATGGGAAGGAGTGAATAACATGTTCCTTTCCCATCCGAAGCAAAGGTGCATGTGTACCTGTGCGAAGAAGGAAGAGACTTGGATGGGGAAGTGCCATTGTTTTCACACATTGTGCACAGGTGTGCAAACAGATGTGCACATTCATGTGTCTTCTTTTCATGAAAGGAAGAAGCTGCTGCGGTAGCTTTAAAGGGAAGGGTACGAAAATGATTACAGCAGCACTGGAGGAGAGGCAGAGAGGTACTTTTAAGTGCTTGGAGAGTGACTGTTCACTCCCAAATTATTTTCTGCTTACCTCTGCTCTTGTGTGTGTTTCTGAAATTTGGGAGTAGATATCCTTACACAGCCCTCACCTGGATAGCTAGCCCAGTCTTGTCAGATCTCAGAAGCTAAGCAGGGTCAGCCCTGGCCAGTATTTGGAGGGGAGAACTCCAAGGGATACCAGGGGCGTGACACAGAGGCAGGCAATGGCAAACCACCTCTGAACATCTCTTGCCTTGAAAACTTTACAGGGTTGCCATGTCAGCTGTTCCTTGATGGCACTTTCCTCCACCACCATCCTTACACAAACATTTCCCCAAAGTTTTGTGGTTCTCTGCTTTTCATTATCTGATCTAGATGTTTCTGGATGATGCTTCATGCACTATATCCCTGTCACATCTGAGGTTTGCTTGATGGCTCTTCTGTCCTCTGATAGATGGAGAGAAACTTGTTGCTTGAGGAGAAAGTTAAAACTCTTCAGCAAGAGAATGAAGAACTCCAAGTACGGATGCAGAACCACCTGGCAGTGGCAAGGTAGCACCTTAAAATATGAAGCATCTCTCAGTAAAGCATACTTTGTCTTTCTAAAGGAGTTTGTGGGAGAAGCTGGGGAAATTCATATATAAAAACTCCTCAAGAAACTCTTGGGTTAATTGAAATCAGTGGAGTAAGTGCACATAAGACTTTACTGTTAGTTACCCAAGAGTTGTTTTTTAATTTTATAAGAAATGTATTTAGAAGTAAATTAGATTATTTTCTTCATATAAATGTGACTTTTACTGAGTGTGGGATCTAGAATTAAAGCTGAAAACTGCTTTTTAAAGAATATCCTCAAATTAATAGGCTGGACAAAAGAGATAAATGAATGATTCACAGTTTTGTGCAAGAATGTTCCTGAGATTACTATGTAATTTAATATTAATTAATTAATTTAAAGCATTCCTATGCCACCTTCCACCCAAGGTGGCAAACATTAAAACAGCATTTAAAATACAGTATATATAAAATATGTAAACAATTCAATACAGAAACATATAGGCATACAAACACAATACGACCAGGGAGGAGGGCCAATAACAGTTGTTGGGGGTATGCCAAACAAAACAAAATAGGTTTCACTCACTGGGGAAGACAACAATAATGGGAGACAGACAGATCTCCCCGGGGAGGGAGTTCCAAAATTTCAGCACCACAACCAAGAAAACCCTTTCTCGGGTTGCCACCCATCTAGCCTCAGGTGGCAGGGCCACCCAGAGCAGGGTTTCTGAAGATGACCAGGGTGGATGAGTAGGGAAAAGGTAATACTTCAGATATGCTGGCCCCAAGCCATGCTTAAAATGTAGGAGTTCATTAATATTTTCCTGTTGTTATTCTGGTTCAAAAACTATGCAGTGGGGCCCTGACCTGGATAGCCCAGGCAAGCCCGATCTCATCAGATCTTAGAAGCTTAGCAGGGCTGACCCTGGCAAGTACTTGGATGGGAGACCTCCAAAGAATACCAGGGTCAGGAGGCAGAGGCAGGCCATCAAGCCAAGTACATTCTCTGAATGTCTTCCATGCCCCAGTAGGAGTCGCCAGAGGTCGCTATGACTTCCAGGCATGGGCAACCACACACACACACACACACACACAAATGCAAAAATACGAAAAAATATATGCAGTAGGGTGAAATGTACACACACGCACATACATCTTGTTTGCTATCTATTCATTCCATGATCAGTCGCTACTTTGGTACCATTTTAAAAAAACAAAAACAAAAATGGTGGATTGTCTGAGAATAATGACCCCATCCAAGCAGGGATCATGTAGTGAGATAGCAATGACACAAGGCTACCTAAACAATCAGATTGGTTAGGTGAGGAAATAGTATAGCCAGTTGAGAGTCAGGGTGGTGCTTTTTGAATTAGAATTTTGCAGTGCCTCTCCCAAATTGCCTAAGGATATTTTCCCTCTGTTAAAAGTATTTTGGGGGGAAACAAACCTTTTCCCTAAATATTTTTTCATGTTTTTCTGCTTCTTGTTTTTAGGACCATTAAACATGAGGAAATGCATGTAATGAAAATGGGCTCTTCTTGCTGTCTTGCCATCTACGCTGTGATATTTAAAATTCTCCCTTGCTTTACAGGCAGCTTTCTGATGAGCTCATCACTATTCGTCAGGCCATGGAGAAGGAGTCACAGCTGAGAGAACAAGCCCACCGGGAAAAGGAAGAGTTGCTGTACAGAATGCTTAGTGGTGATCCTTCCCACACCTTCCCCATTTCCACTGAGGCACCACTCATAGCTACATAGCATTTTGAAAAGCAAAAAGGACTGCTGGGAGTTGGGGGTGGTGGAAGAGGATGAAAACAAGACTCCTCTATCCGTTTATTCTAGTTCTGAACTAGACCCGGAGCTGTGAGACTCTGGCAGGAGAAGGGATCCAGAGGTACCACATGCTGTGTTCACTTCACTGTTCTGACACTTGAGGATGTTAAAGTGAGTTGCTTAAAGAGGGGAGGTTTTCCAGCCTTAATGCTAGTTAAGAAACAATGTGTTGTCGAAGGCTTTCACGGCCGGAGTTTCACGGCCACACATCCCGGAAAATCTACAGCAACTACGAAACAATGATAGGCCTGCATATGAGTAATGTATGCAAATCAGCAGTGGCCTGGGATCCCTCCCTCCCTCCCTCCCTCCCTCCCAGGGAGAACAAACTACCTCATACCAGATGAGGTAGGCTGGTGTTGCAATTACTGTTGGTTTAATATTTCAGTAGCTACAGTTGTAGATAGAAGCCACAGAAAAGAAGAAATTGTGCCTGGGAAAGGATGTGCAATTAGACTTGCTGCTGTCCCTAATTAAGTTCTCCTTATCTTCTGTGGTCAGGAGTGTAAAACTTTCTAAGTGCTTTATCTTAGCAGAAGTATAGACCATTATCTGTGAGCAGTTTCTTCATAGCTGAACATTTAAATGTCTCCACTATGTAGGTGAGGTTCCTTGCGTCTTTCCCACACTCCACTGAGGCTGAGACAGTGTGTGTGGGCTGGTTCTGTGGAAAAGATTTGCACAATTTGACCCCACATACATGGTGGGTCATTTATGCTGCTAGCCATGTGGGAACTGCTCACAGGTGAACACTTGCCTCACATCTGAGAGAACATCAAAAGGGCACGTAAGATCCAGTTTCTTCCCAAGGCAAAATTGATCTTCCAATTGAAACTGCTTGTGCCGGCCATGGAAGGTCAAGGGTTCTTAGCCAGGTGAGGTTTTCTGTTATTTGAGATGAAAGTCAAATGAAAGCATCTGGAAATCAAGGGATGCTTTGAAACCACGTCAAGAAACTGACAATAGAAGGTTCCCACACTGATTGTGAGGCAACAATTTCAAAGAAATGAGCTCTTGTGGCTCCAGACCACTGAAATTCTGGTAGAAGTGCATAGCAAGTATGACTAATGGTGTAAGAAAAGTTTCATTTGGATTAGAACAAAATGATTATAAAATGTGTTCTAGTCCACACACGTTGTATATAGTGTGCAATGGCAGAAGTGATAAGTAGTACAGTGTGAACAGAGAATGTAGTGAATACTGCAAAAATGCAGGCTTGTGAAAGTCAGGACAAAGTGGGTGCTGGAGGAAAATCAATAAATATTTAATTTCTCTCTAAGAAAGTGTAAAACCGGTTTGCATAGCTTGTGAGCAACCAAACTAAATGTGCTCCATGAGCACCACTACCCCCATGTATTTGCAGTACCAGATAAAACCAGGACTTTTATGCTGACTTTGATGCAACACCATATATGGGTGGCAGGATGCTATTGGTTTGGTGGCCCATATGCTGAGCAGGGTGGCACAGATTTTATTTCTGCTACTTGTGTGCTACCAGAACTCTTGCCAAAGTTTCAGTTATACTTCAAGAGGAAACAAATTATATCACTGTCTCTCGAGACAGCTTTAATTGTTCATTGGAACCCATCTATGGCTGAATGATGAAAATTATTTATCTTAAAGGAAGGTGCATTCAGTCAGGAGAGAAATTCATCACTGCTCTAACCCAACATGATGACTTGGTACCTGATCCATTGTGCCCTGTGAAGTGGTATTCTCTGGATGCCCCCGGTAATAATCTCTAATGCTTTTTGTTCCTGCCCGTAAAGGACAATCCACAAAACTATGTAGATGGAAGTGATCAATGCATGGGTAAAGACCACCTTTCTAAAAATTGGTGAATGTCAATAGTGGATTCTTTTTATTAATTTCCATTTTGAATTGGACAAAATTGTCAGGGGAGTGAAGAAAAAGTAGAGTGGAGGTTGATGTTTTGATGATATGGTTGTCGCCAGCACTTGGGTGACCCAGCCAAGTGCTGCAATGGGACCTCCAGATTTCCTCAACAAGCCATTTGAAAAGGCTCCTCCCTGCCACACCATCACAGAACTCCCTTTGGTTCAAAAAGGAGTAAACACTCTGTAATGGTTACATAAGATTCAAAAGATCACTGAAACTGGCATCAAACCAAACTGGGTTTCCAGTCCGTACTGAGAATTTCTGCTCCTGATGGGAGAAGCAGTTCCCAAATGTAATTGCTTCTTGCCTTTGGGCAAGAGATCCTGTGGACTGTTGGGAGGCAAAGGCTCATGAGAAGTCATTTGCCTTCATTCTCCAAAATGTGGCACTGGACCTGAACCCTACCCCAGGGCTACAGGGGGAAAAGTGGGCTTTTGAGGCCTGTGGCTAGCCAAGCTGAGGCCATCACACTGTTGGAGAGGTGGGGGAGGCTACCTGACAACAATCAGGCTCAGTCATCTCTGCGGCCTACGCCTGGAACTGAAGCAGTCTGACTAACCACAGGTTGCGACAGTTTATATCTGCAGCTGTTGCTGGTGGCTAATTTTATTTTAGGTATCTGAAGGAGCTGTGAGCAGAGACATTTGGTAGCAAGGAGGTCTCAGTGGAGACTTTCTCAAGGATTCCCTTGACCCTAGAGCCAAAGGCTGCCAGATAGGGTTGCCAGCTCTGGGTTGGGGAATACCTGGAGATTTAGGGGGTGGAGCCTGGGGAGGATGAGGTTTGGGGAAAGGAGGGATCTCAGCAGGGTATGATGCCATAGAATCCATGCTCCAAAGCTGCCATTTTCTCCGGAGGAACTGATCTCTGTTGTCTGGAGAGCAGTTGTTATTCCGGGAGATCTTTAGGCCCCACCTGGAGGTTGGCAACCCTACAGTGCCAGATGCCTCTAAATAAGATCCTAATGCAAGCACGTACAAATTTTCACCTAGGTGGCCTCCCCATTTCAAACCATTTGGCTGTTTCTTCTGCCACCTCTATCTTTCAGGCAGGGGCTTTGCCACTTCTTTCCATGGTAGCTCTCCCCTTAGATATCAGCCCAGAATCAGTGCTGGAACAAGGCCAACAATAAAACCCACACCTGCTTTTCCAGAGGGGTATAAGAGCTGTGCATTAGGTTTACATCCGGTTCTGCCGGTGGTCGCCGTGGAGACATCAGAGGCCTAGAAGGACGCCAAGCTGATCCAGCCGCCAGTAGAGATCGAGTAGACGCCAAGCCGAGCCAGCAGCCAGAAGACCATCAAGGGCCCGCCACCAAGAGTGCTGGTAGGCAGTCCCACCCCCAATACTAGATGTGGCCCAAGTTAGGATTACAGTTCTTAGAAC